TTCTTCTTCTTCTTCTTCTTCTTCCTCTTCCTCTTCCTCTTCCTCTTCCTCTTCCTCTTCCTCTTCCTCTTCCTCTTCCGAAACAGGGTTTCTCTGTGTAGCCCTGGCTGTCCTGGACTCGCTTTGTAGACCAGGCTGGCCTCGAACTTAGAGATCCACCTGCCTCTGCCTCCCTGAATGCTGGGATTAAAGGCGTGCCCATCATGCCCGGCTTCCTCTGTTGTTGTTGTTTTTTTTAAATATTTATTTTGTATGTGTGTCCACGTGCATGTCAGGGTTTCTCTGTGTAGCCCTGGCTGTCCTGAAACTCACTATGTAGACCAGGCTGGCCTTGAGCCTGCCTCTGCTCCAGAGGGCTGGGGTCAAAGGTGTGTGCCAACAGCACCTGGCATTGCTGTGTTTCCTTTGAGGCTGATTCTCCTGAAGTAGCCCAGAGTGATCCAGAACTCAGAGCCATTCTTCTGCCTCAGCCTTTCAAGTCCTAGGTCGGCAGGCAGGCGTGAACCACCATTCCAGGTGGAAAGAAGTGCAGAGTTTGCCTCACTCTGCTGTGTTTGCACACATTGGCACCTGGTACCGTGCGCGAGCAGCATATCGTACCCGAAATGTGGCCTAAGGCTGTTTTCACCCGGCTGCCGCTTTATCTACAGATGCTTGTTCCCTTCTGTCAGGGCCACAGCACCACGACCCTATAAATGGAAACGCTTACATGGAAACAGGTATTTAGGGGCTGACAGCTCGACAGCTCTGGTGAAGGCTCACCCAGGCAAGCCTGTCAGCACGATCAACCCTGGGAGCCACATAATGGAAAGATAGAACTAATTCCCACATTGTCTCTGACCTACAGACACACACACACACACACACACACAGAGAGAGAGAGAGAGAGAGAGAGAGAGATGAGTGTTAATTGAGTTAGGAGGTGATGGCACGTACCTTTAATCCCAATACCCGGAGTTCAAGGCCAGCCTGGACTATGTAGGTCAGCTGCATAGTGAGTGCCTGTATTATAGAGAGAGAGAAGGGGGAGGGGGGAATTTGTCTCCTGACACTGGCTGGGCACAACCCCCTACCTCTGTGGGACAGCGCCCTGAATGAGATGTTTTTAAAGTCTATGGTTAAGTCTTTATCTAACTTGCTGAACGCTGAAAGACAGCGTAAAACAAAAGTTTCATTTGTGTGGTTGACGCCATCATATACTTCATACGCTGAGATAACCCAGACAGCCCTCAAATTCTCTATGGAGCTGAAGCTGGCCTGCCTTGAACACCTGATTGATCCTCCTGCTTCCCCTTTTAACACTGAGCCCCGGCCCCAAGCCCGGGCTTCGTATTTATTTACTGAAACAGGTCTCAGCATGTAGCCCTGGCTGGCCTTGCCTCTGTGTTCCTGAGTGCTGGGATTAAAGGCCACCACCACCTGGTCCTGACGGCCTCATTTTTATTTGTGTTGATGGCTGTTTGCCATGAGCAGCACACATGCATTCAGGAACCGGCAGAGGCCAGAAGAGGACACTGAACTGGAGGCACAGAAGGCTATGAGCTGCCTGCCGTGTGGGTGCTGGGAACTGAACCCTGCTCCTGCGGAAGAGCAGGCAGCGCTTTCGAGTGCTGTTCCTCCCCTCCAGCCCCTGGCTGGCTGCCCTGACCACACTTTGCTGTCGATTGCAGTCTGCCTCTCTGGACCCTTCCAGTTTGCTACACACCTAACCCTCATCTTTGACCAACACAATTTTACTTTTTTTTTAACTTTTTGGGCAGAGGGTCCAAAAATTTTAGACACCATAGCCCTGGTTGGCCCGGAACCTGTAGACCAGGCTGGCCTCCACTTCACAGAGATCCACCCGCCTGAGACTAAAGCTATGTGCCACCAAACACCACACAACTGTATCCATTCCTGCTTTATAGCTTAGGAAATTGGGGCACACAACAGACCCCAGGAACATGTCACCATTTTATTCATCTTTTTTGTTTGTTTGTTTGTTTGTTTGTTTGTTTTGAGTCAGGGTTTCACTGTGTAGCCTTGGCTGTCCTGGACTGGACCAGGCTGGACTGGAACTCACAGTGACCCACCTGCCTCTGCCTCTCCTAGTGCTGGGATTATAGGCATGCGCCACCACGCCCGGTTCATTTCACTCATCTTACTTGCACCTTGTAAGTGCCAGTAAGATCTATAGCGCTCCTTTAGCTGAGGATGACTGCCCATAGCTGTCACGCCAGCACTCAGGAGGTGGAAGCAAGAGGATCAGGAGTTCAGGGCTATCCTCAGCTACATATTGAGTTTGAGGCTAGCCTGGGACAGGAGATGCTATACGATGAATAAATAAACTAGACGTTCCTTTGGCATTGACACAGCTCCCTCAGGCCACGCTTTCAGGTGCTTTCAGGTGCCTTCAGCGACAGACAGTCATTTCCCTGCCTGAGCCCCAAGGGCTCCGCTTTCAGGAGCTGTGGCTCCCTATTCTTTGGAAGGGGCAGTGACTCTGGCATCATACACTAGGGTGGAGGGGGCATACACCTGGTTGGCAGGACTAGGGCCTGAGTGAGGGAATTCTGTGGCTGGCTGCCATTTGAGGCTGCATAGAGGATGGATGGGTGATGGAGGAAGGACATGGAGATGTCACTAGCAGAGCTGCTCTGAGGAAGGCTGGCAGGAAGGACTGGCCAAGGGCCATAGCCTGGTAAAGGGGATGAGGAAGGAGAAGGC